CGGTGGGAAACTATTCCTGGAAGAAGGTCAGCATGGGCAAAGATGCAAAGTATGAAGAAAAAATAAAGTAGCCAGAATTGCTGGAGAAACTGCAAGCTGACTTCGGGATGCAAGAGGAAATGCCGCAGGAGAAGCAGGTACACCAGGGCCAGGTCGTGACCAACTCCGTGGTTCACTCAGAGATTTGGATTTGATCTTGAGGACAAGGGTTTTTAAGCAGAGCAATGCCATTATCGGCCTTGCTATTTGAAAAAGATCTTTCTAGCAGCTAGTGAGGTAAAGGTAACAGGAGACTGGCACAAGGGGAAGATGACAGGAGACGGTCACAGTCATCACTCAAGGATGATAAGGTCTGCACTGGTGCAGTTCACTACTTTCAACTTTCCTGTGGCACCTCCTCTCTGAAAGGTCTGGATCAGCAACTGAAAAGTGCAGGCTTGTTACAAAGTATCTGACTTATTGCATAAATAAACCATAGTTCTGACTTATCACATTAGCCAAGGAAAAATACGGCAAGGGCAATTCCAGGAAGAGGGCCTCGTCTTGAAGGAAGAGTCCACGAAGGCCGAGTCCCTATGTCCTTGGTGATGTCAAGGTCACTCAGGAATGAAAACATGCAACTGAAAACTGAATTTAGATGTTTTCTAAACTTAGATTAATTTGCTTTACCAAGATACAATTTACATGCCACAAAATTCACCCTTCTAGAGGGGTACAGTTCAGTGAGTTTACTGTATTTTAATTTTCCAATCATCACTACTATCTAATTCTAGAAAATTTTCATCACCCCAAACAGAAATCCGATAATAGTCACTCTCCATTCTCCCAGTCGCTGGTAACCACTACAATGTTCTGTCTCTGTTGTTTTGTATATTACTAGATATTTCATGAAAGTGAATCATACAACCTGTGGTCATTTCTGACAGGCTTCTTTGACTTACCACACAGTTTTCAAGATTCATCCATGTAGCATGTATCAAAAATTCATTCACTCTTCTTTCTGGCTGAAAAATACTCAGTGCTATGGCTATCCCACATTTTGTTTATCCACTCTTGGACATTCCCATTGTTTCTACTTTTTGCCCAGTGTGGATAATGGTATTATAAACTTACCTGCATGATACCTTGAGTTCAGTTCCCAGCACTGGGGAGAAAAATAATATAAAGTTTTCTAGTTTTAGTTCTTACATTTGGATCTCTGATATAATTTGAGTTAATTTTATATATGGTGAGACAGATCTGACTTTATCTTTTTATATGTGGATATCCCACTGTCCTTAGACAGTGAGTAGACTGTTCTTTCCCTCACTGAATCATTGTGGCAACCTTGTGAAAAGTTAATTGACTATTAATGTAGGGGTTTATTTCTGACCTCTTAAACCTAGTCCATTCATCTTTATTTCTGTTCTCATGCTATTAATACAGTTTTAATTACTATAGTTTTCTAGTAAGTTTTAAAATCAGAAATCAGTCTTGAAAAAGACTAGTTTTTGCTAGTCTTGTATATCCACATGAATCTTAGGATCAACCTATAAATTTCTGCAAGGAATCCAACTGGGGTTTTGATGGAGATTGCATTAAATCTGTAGATCAATTCAGGGAGTATTTTTGGGTTTTTGTTGGTGGTGGGGTTTTTTGTTTTTTTTATACCTGGGATTGAACTCAAACCTCACGCTTGCCAGGCAGGCACTGAGCTTTATCCCCAGCCCATATTTCTATTTTAACAGAACTAAGTCTCTGATCCATGAGCATAAACACCATAAAATTAGTTGTTTTAATAACATAACTAATTTCCATATATTTAAGTTTTTACGTTTATCTGGTCAGTATTTTATCTTTCAGTATACAAGTCTTGTGTTGTTAAATACTTTATTCTTTTTGATAATAATGTAAATAGAATTGTTTCCTTCATTTTGGGATTATTCATTACTAACATACAGAAATCCAATTCATTTTTGTGTTTTGATCTTGTATTCTGAAATATTGCTGAACTGGCATATTCTAAGTTTTCTGTGGATTTCTTAGGTTATGTCATCTGTGAGTAGAGATACTTTTAGTTCTTTTTTTTTTTTTTCTATCTGGGATGTTTTTCTTTCTCTTTCCTAATTTCCCTGGCTAGCAGCTCACATGCATTCTGTCCTACAGATGGTAAGAGCAGAAATCTTCATCTTGATCTTAGGGGGAGAAATATTCAGTCTTTTGTCATTAACTATGATATTAGCTCTTGGCTTTACAAAGATGTCCTTTATCAGGTTTAGGCTGCTCCCCTCCTTTTTTTTTTTTTTTTTTTTGAGTATTATTGTCACAAAAAGCTATTAGATTTCTATCAAGTGCTTTTTCTGCATCTTTTCTAATGACCATGTGAGAGATTTCTTTTCCCTTTTATTAGCATAGTTTTCATACTGATTAACTTTCAGATGTTAAATCAACCTTGAGTTCCTAGAAAAGTCCCACCTTGTGATGTACAATCTTTTTGAAATGTTGTTGGACTTGGTTTACAAGTATATTGTAAAGGATTTTTGCAGCTGTGTCCCTCAAAAATATTAACTTGCAGATTTCTGGTAATATTTTTCTCTGAGTTGGTTATCTAGGTAATGTTGACCCCTTATAATTGGATGTAGAAAGTATTCCTTCCTCCTATATTTGAAAGAGGTTATAAAGGATTGGTATTAGAATATTCTTTGAATATTCTGTAGAATACTCTTTGAATATTCTGTAGAATTCACCAGCAAAGTCCTCTGGTCCTAATTTTTTTCTTTGTGAGAAGTTATTTATTTATTTATTTGTTTATTTTTGTGGTGATGGGAGTCAAACCCAGGTATTCATATATCCTCAGCAAGCACTATAACTCAGCCATATCCATCCACTCCCTGAATTTTTAAAATTATTCAATGTTTTCCTTGTTATAGGTATGCATATAATTTTACTACTTTTTCTCTTTTAGCTCTAAATATTCAGTCATTCAAGAAATTCGTATTGAACATCTACTTAATCTAGAACCTGATCTTGGGACAGAGGTTACAAAAATGAATAAAATAACCCCTTAACCTCTTGGAGCTTTGCTTTCTCATATTCTGTCTCTCATTCTCATGTTCTCTTCACCATGTACCTGTTTGTTTATTTATATTTAATGTGACACTAGCGCTTGTAAAGGTATTGTTACATGCCATTGGTGGAGAACAGAGATCCTTAAGCATGCTCTACATAGTGGTTTACACTCTCAGGTATTCTTGAAAATTTTGCATTCATGAAAAATGGAATATATGATTATTATTATGTTGCTATTATTATTGTTATCACAGTATAGGTCAGTGTGTATCCTTGGCATTCTAAAAGGAAACCACTACCTCTGCTATTTATGCCACCCATTGCCTACCACTCTCTGATCATCAGAGGGAACATGTGTCAATTTCCTAGGACAGCTGTAATGAAGATTGTGATGGGTCGCTTAAAATAATAGAAATATATTCGCAGGCCGTTATGAAGGATAAGCACCTGAAATCACAGAGCTGTCAGCAGGCCATGCTCCCTGTGAGGCACAAGGTGGCGTCCTTTTACACCTCTGCCCAGCTCGTGATAATGCCATCAGTCCTTGGCATTCTCTCACTTGCAGTTGTTTCACTCCAGGCCGTGCCACTATTACTACATGATGTTCTGACTGTTTGCCACTGTCTTCATGTGGTGTTTGATTCCAGAGAAGACACTAGTCATGTCCGGTTAGGACCCACTGTAATGATCTCATCCTTACTTGATCACGTGACTATTGCCCAATGAGGTCATGTTCATAAGGTATCAGAGGTTAGGTTTTTATAAAAGGAGAGTTCTTAACAAGGAATTACGCTTTCGCTCTGAGATCTTGACTGACATGACCAATTGTAATAGATTTTATGGAAGTTTCATGGTATTTTCTCTGATTTTAGAAAAATCTCTCCTCAGGGCTGGGGATATCACTCAGTGGCACAGCACTGCCTGTCAGGCCTGAGGTCATGAGTTATATCCCTGGTGCTTAAAAAAAAAAAAAATCCTCTCTTCATTATATAAGCTCTGAAGGTATCAATGAAGCCACACATGTTTTATCTTCTAAGCATCAGTGTCAGATACTAAGCATAAATAGGGATTCAGTGTAAAAGTTCCAAAAGTAATACCTGTTAAATCATGATGTGTATATGCTCTCCTTGTAAAAAGTCACATGAGTTTGTGAATGACTAGAACAGCAGTTATCTGCTATGTACACTTGCCACAATCACAAGAACCTTTTAGACTACTTTAAACAATGTCAGAGTCCATCTTTAGTGAAATAAGATGACATGGCTAATGTAACTGCATTTATGTTTATTAGAAAATGCTGTATACATGACAAGCTTTATACACGTGAATATAAAGTGACAAATCCTGCATACAACACAGCATTTCTTTGGAACAGTGCTAAAAGAACAAAACAGTATCTTCTGAATCCTTGCCCTATTGCAAGTTTCAGCTGTTTTCAATAATGCTTCCAAGCATTTTTGTTTGTTTGTTTTCATTTTTATCGGTACCAGGGATCGAACTCACGACTGCCTGCTTGCAAGGCAGGCGCTTATGCCGCTGAGCTAAATCCCCAGCCCCCCAAGCATTTTCTTGATCCACAAATGTTGTCATGTCCACTCCATCACAGTGCAAGTGTTTGTGAATGAGGGTCATTCCTTAGTATCCTGGTGTAGTGAATTATAGTGCTCTTGGGCAGAATTAGAGTCTGGATCCCTTTTTTTTAGAAACAAAGCCCATCACCCAAACTAGTTCCCTGTTCCTCTGCTAGAGAAATCCTGAAGCATTATTTATGTTAGTTGTTCCCTCTAAGTCTTGGACTCAGAGCTTCAAAGCTATGAGTTTTCTCATTTTGAATGAAAGCGCTAAGTCTTACATTTTCCATGATTACCTCACTCATTTCTACTTATTTCATTTATGAAATAGAAAATTTCATTTAATTGTTCTCTTTTCTTCTTTCTGATAAAATATTATAGGGCAATCCAGAGCAGCAATGATACCCCCCAAGCATCCACGGCAGCCAAAGGGAGCTTTGGATGATGCCATTGCCTTCGGAGGGAAAACAGACCAAGAAGCACCAAATGCTTCCCAACCTACACCACCCCCATTGCCAAAGAAAATGATCATAAGAGCCAATACAGAGCCAATCTCCAAAGACCTCCAGAAATCCATGGAAAGTAGCCTTTGTGTCATGGCTAATCCTACCTATGATATTGATCCTAACTGGGATGCCAGCAGCGCTGGCTCTTCCATTAGCTATGACCTCAAAGGACTAGACATTGAGTCCTGTGATTCCTTGGAGAGATCTCTGCACAAGGAGAAACCTGTCCCTTCTGCTGCAAACAGCATCTCCAGTTTAACCACTCTCAGTATTAAGGACAGGTTTTCTAACAGCATGGAGTCTCTGACCAGCCGACGTGGCCCCTCCTGCAGACAGGGCCGAAGCATTCAGAAGCCGCAGAGACAAGCACTTTATCGAGGACTTGAAAATCGAGAAGAAGTAGTTAGTAAAATCCGAAGCCTTCATACAGATGCCTTGAAGAAACTGGCTGTAAAATGTGAAGACCTCTTTATGGCCGGACAGAAAGACCAGCTCCGCTTTGGGGTTGACAGCTGGTCAGACTTTAGGCTGACCAGTGACAAACCATGTTGTGAAGCAGGTGATGCAGTTTACTACACCGCTTCATATGCAAAAGATCCACTTAATAACTATGCAGTCAAGGTAAGAAAATATTATGATTTCATTGTAGTATTAAATATTTGCAAACATGCTATTATTAGGAGGGGTTCATTTTTCTTTGCCTCTTTCCTTCCTCCAATTCCTTCATTCTGCAAAAGTTAAGAGTACCTGCTGGAAGGTCGACTTGTTTACATTTAGGTGAGAAAAGAGATAATGTAGAGAGACAGTTTCAACAGTGTACTGCATACTAAGGTAGAGATAAACAGGAGTTCTGTGGAGTGCCTGGAAGGACCTTAACTTGGACCCAGAAGTCAGTGTAATCTTGAAGGAAGTATCCCATGAGCTGTGGTTAATTGCATAGGTAGGCTGCCTATAAAGATAAGATCTGTTATATATCTTTCACTCTGTTTTTGCCTTTATTCTATCCCAAATAAAAGAACCTTGTCTGCACCCATTATGTAACTTCTCTGCTTCCTGAAGAAATGTTTTTATAGAGGTGATAACTAATACTTGTTGAACTTACGTTATATTATTTAATTCTTCCATCAAATCTATGATGGCAAGATCGTTTTTCACATTTGAGACATGAGGAAAATGGAGCTGACAGATAACTAAGTTTGGTTAGAATCACACTGCAAGCAAGTGGTAGACCTGGAATATAAACATCACTATCTCTGAGTCATACCCTACACTTTGTCCTGTATATCATGTGTACTACCCTTTCCAGACAGCCACTATTGCAAGATGTCTAGAACTCGTGACATCAAGAATTCTCACTGAGTTACACTGGCTATAAAGTGAACTGTAGGTTTCACTAGTGTAAAAACCATGGAATGAACTGTGGTGTCCAAAAGATTTGGGTTCAGACCCTAGCTCGTTTTGTCAGTAATGATCCTTGTCATATTGAACCATCCTTGATAATTGCTCATTTCTTTCTCTACCATTAGCTCTTCTCTACTTTAAAAGAATAGCAACCTTTGGGCCTCCATTTCCTCTCTTTCAGCTGTTTACAGTGGTAATCCATCTACTTTATGGGACTGAGGTAAGGAACAAGTGAGATAATGCAAGTGAAAGGATTTGGAAAACACAGAGCTTTGTGTGAGCCTTAATGTTCTCAATTTCCGTAGTTCCTTTTTTCTGTTTCTATTCATTGGTTCAAAAGCAGTTAACATACCGAAGTGACTTTTACCTGTTAATTTGGCTTGGAAAGACCAGATGTATCTTAGTAAATTAATGGATTAGGTAAACAGTTGGCCTTGCCTGTCTATCAGGACAGAATATATGCTTGGGCCAGACCTTAGGCTAGTGGATCTCCACAGTTGCAGCACCCTTGACTGTCTGTGGTAGTGGCACAGTGTCTCTGCTCCAGCCCATACAGTCAAATTAAATTGAAGGGTAGACCGCAGACAGCGGATCTAGACTCCAGTTTATGTTACTTGCTGGTTCTAAAAAGGGATGTTGAGATTCTGAATAGCGTGTAAAAGATGTTACACCATTTGAGGTTATGGCGCCTTATCTTTCTTGGGTCTTTATTACTACAAGATCACCAATGCAGAATGAGTACATTTCAGAAAGGGGCACTGAACTATCCCTTCTTTCAAAGCAACTGAGAAGTAGAGCTTGATTAACTTTATGTATTATTGCTGTGCACTCTTGTCTCTTTCTTAAATCAATGGTCTGGTATTGATTTCTTTATTTCTAATGATGCAAAAGCAATCTCAAAAGAACAGGTGGCAAGTGATTATATACTGGTAGATGTTGGCAGGTTGGGAAAGGATGTTTTACACTAAATGCTGAATATAAATGTCTCTTTGAAGACCCTCTGGGCATTTCCAGAATTGCCCAACTGATCATAAAATCTTACAGGAATAAACTTTGAGAACCTTTTGCAGAGATAAACTCTTTGGGCTCATACAAACAACTCCTTTAAATATTTGTCATCTTAAAATATTCCTTCCCATACTGATGCAATTTAGGGTAAGCTAATGGGTGTAAAGATCTCCTAAAATGTTACAAAGGAAAGTCCCTGCTAGGATTTAGTAATTTGAAAGCCGAAGAAAATACTATTACCCCTGCCACTTAACCACCAAATCCACTGTCATTATAGAGCACTAAAATATTTACTTTGTATGTAGTCTTAGTTTGCTCAGTCTGCCATAACAAAATTCTATACACTGAGTGGCTTAAGCAGCCAAGATCAAGATTTTAGCATATTTGGTTTCTGGTGAGGGGCTCTGGTGAGGGCTTGTAGACATCCACCTTCTCTGTGTGTCTCACATGGTAAGGAGAGAGAGCTGAAGAGGGAATGAAAGCTCTTGTGTCTTTCTTATAAAGACACCAGTCCTATCATGTCCGGGCCTCAACCGTATAAGCTCATTATAGACCTTGCTGCCTTGAGAGAACTTCAGCATATGAATTGGACTGGGTGGGCACCATAATTTAGTCTATAATATTTCATCCTTCTCCCTCCCAAATTTATGACCATTGCCTGCAAAACACATTGTAGCACCTTAAAAGTTTTACTCCATGGGGCTGGGGATTTAGCTCAGTGGCATAAGCACCTGCCTGGCAAGTACAAGGTTGTGAGTTTGATCCCCAGTACCACACACACACACACACACACACACACACACACACACACACAAGTCTTACTCCAGAATCAAGTCCAGAGTCTTATGTAAATACCACCTAAGTCCTGTTATGGATTGAAATTCAACGTATGACTGTCATAAGGCAAAATTTCTCCCCAGTTGTGAACCTGTGAATCCAGACAAGTTATGTCCAACATACAACTACAAACAGACATAGAATAGAAACATTCCCATACTAAAAGGAAGAGGTCAGAAGGAAGGGATGATGGGTCCAAAAGTCTAAAATCTAGCAAGTTAAATTCCATTAAATCCTACAATTTGAGAATAATCCTCTTTGGTTTGATATCCTGCCCTCCCGGCTCACTAGGGGAGCAGTGTCACCCCTGTGGGTCTCCGTGGTGGCTCACAGGCAGGCTGACCTTCCAGAGCCAAAGAAACCAAGGATACAACAGCCTTGTGCACTGTACCTCAGAGGAGAAGAGCCAACCTGACATCTCATTACCTTTGGGGTTACTCTCCCCTTTCTTTGAAGAATACTGCACTTCACAGCCAAATAGCTCTATGGTCCAACCCTATAGAACCCAAGAAGTCTAGCAGTCTCCTTTCATTCCCAGCCCACTGTTATTCCCTAGTTCAGACTGGCAGTGTTTTTGCTGATACAATCCCATCCTTGTTATTCCTGGCTTCTGCTGAGATGGCTGATTAAACCTGTGAATCCCCCTGTGATCTCTTCATCACATGACAGTTGACCTACACCCTCAGTGTCCTGTAAAGCACATGTTTTTACAATTTTTGTAATATGGGTAGAACAAAAATTTTCCACATCTTTTAAGTTTTGATTCCTTTTTTATTAAATTTTCATTCTTCAATTCATCCATCTTCTTTCCCAGTGTATTATAAGCACTCGGGAGGAACCAAACTGCTCCTTCATCACTTTGCTTAGATCTCCTCAGCTAAAAATACAATTATCTTGTAATTTCTATCTTTTACAAAACATTAGAACATGCTTCTGATGTTTCTTTTTCTGGTTTCTAGTGACCATAGTGCTCGTTTCCATCAAAGACCACAGCAGAATCCCCCTTTCTGTCTCACAGTCCTGGAGGCCACATAGGCCAAGAGCAAGGCCCTGACTGACTGGTGCAGGTCCTTTCGCCTGCTTACATATGACCACCCTTTCACTGCGTCCTGATGTCATAGCAGCAGAACATGCCAGCTCTCTGTATCTCTTGCCTAACCTTCCTCCTTACAGATTCTTCACCCGTTGCCCCCTTACTGGCCTACATGTGCAACCACAGTAAAGATTAGAGCTTCAACATGGGATGGAGTGAGGAGATTAAAAGTTCAAGCCATAGTAGAAGTTGTGTTTGCTCTAAAGTAGACAGTTTTAACTAAGGGCTTCTCCTGGATTTACACATTTTCCTATTTCATATTCTTATTTTTATTCAACATGAATGGCTTCATTAATTGTGTTAATGTTAAACTAAAAAGCATTATAGTACAGAATAAAGAACTTTTGCATCATCTACCCTGGCCCAAGCTCTGATTCTGTCTTTCTATATTCTTAACAGGTCATGTAACCTCACTTGATTTTCTTATCAGTGTACACCAACTGCACTACCTACTTCATAAGATTATTATAATGTTCATATTTATGTAGTGAAAGTGTTTTTAAACTGGAAATGGTGGTGCATCCCTGTAATTGCAGCACTCTGGGATGCTAAGGCAAAAGGATCACAAGTCTGATCCTTATCAATACCTTGTCTCAAAATAAAAAGTAAAGGACTGGGGATGTAGCTCAGTGTGAGAGTCCTAAGTCCAGTCTCTAAAGTGGAAAAAAAATTTGTGTAAATTCTAAATTATATATAAGCCTTAATAAAATAATGTATTGTTATTAATAATAGAAAATTACTGTTCCATATTTTACAGATCACTATTATTCTTCAATACTTAGCAGATTTAGATAGGTTCTGCACCTAGATATTTTCTTTCTCATTACTTCAAATATATGAACATTTTTTCCCTTAAATTTATGAAAGAAGACTACAAAATGTTACAACCTCAAGAATTCGGGTGCTGCCAAAAAAATCAAACAAATTAAATGGCTGATATAAAGACACAGTTAAATAAACTGTGATATATCAACCCAATGGAATGTTTGTAGCCATTAAAAATGATGATTAAAGGGCTGTATAAAATAAAAACATTTGTTGTAAAATCTCATAGAATACTAAAGAGGATGATCATAACTTTAAAAAAATTGATCTGCAAAATGGTAATACAGAATAATTCTACGTTAATGGTGGTAACTATAGATGATTTTTATCTTGTATAAAAATGTCAATAGGTCTTTTCAATGAAAAATACTGAAGTGTTAGAATCATTTCACACTGTTTCTTGAAGGCGTAGGTCTCCTCAGTTATTTCTGTACTTCTATCCTCTAACATAAATTAT